GGGGAAGCTAACGGGAAAAGCCATTAGGAGGCTGATTCATTTGTTTATCTAGAGGAGTATGCTCAATTTAGCTTGGTAATTTTTATGTTCAGTGGTTCAGGAAATTTCCCACCCAGTCCCATCAAATCCACATCCTTCCACCTGCTGGTGCTGAGAATTTCCAGGAAGAAGGGGAAAACCTCCCAAGCACAGGGAGTGGGGTTCTGACGGACCCTTAAAATAATCCACTCGCTAAGACAATTACAATAAACAGTACATTCCAAGTCTCAAACAGAGAAGGGCTGAAAAACAAAACAAAAGAAAACAAAACAAAAATTATGGTTGCTTCCATCTTGGAAAAGACTCACAGAAGACAGCCCTCACTGAACATTCCTAACTCGGGCTTACCAGAATGCACTTCTAAATCCTCAGTTTAACCCATGACTGTAGAAGTATAATGCAGATCAACAGGATTTCCAAACAAGAAGGAATTTTTTTTTCTTTTTTAAGCTAATCAATTTGGTTGGGCTTTCATCAGTATCTCATAGAACTCTAAAAGGTCCCAGAAGAAGATTAAACAAAAATCAAAAGAAAAAGAAATATTTGCATGAGTCAAATCATTTTAGTGAATTCTAGGTTGTGGTGGTTTGAAAGAAAATGGCCCCTATAGGGAGCAGCACTATTAGGAGGTGTGGCTTTGTTGGAGGAAGTGTGTCACTGTGGAGGTGGGTTTTGAGGTCTCATATATGCTCAAGCTACTATCTCAGACCATTTCCTGTTGTCAAGATGTAGGATTCTCAGCTACTTCTCCAGCACCATGTCTGCCTGCACACTACCATGTCTTACCATGATGATAATGGACTAAACCTCTGAAAATATGAGTCACCTTAATTGCATGTGTTTCCTTTATAAGAGTTGCCATGGTCATGGTTTCTCTTCAAGGCAATAGAAACCCTAACTAAGACACAGGTTAAAGAGAGTTAAACAGTTTCTTCCTTTCTCCCTTTCTTCCTTTCTCCCTTTCTTCCTTTCCCTCTTTCTTTTTTCTTTCTTTCTTTCTTTCTTTTTCTTTCATTCCTTTCTTTCTTTCTTTCTTCCTCCCTCCCTTCTCCCCCTCTTTCTCTTTCTTTCCTTCTTTCTTTCCTTTCTTTCTTTCTTTCTTTCTTTCTTTCTTTCTTCCTCTCTTTCTCTCTTTCTCTCTTTCTTTCTTTCTTTCTTTCTTTCTTTCTTTCTTTCTTTCTTTCTTTCTCAAAAGGTTATGGCATGGCCAAGGTTGCACAGAGGCTCCAACTTTGCTGGAGTTCTGTCCTTTACACTTGACTCTAGACAGGCTGTCATTAATGGAATATAATAAGTGTTGCTGGTGTTGGGGCCCAGGACTTAGATGACTTCTGGTGTTTATATCTGGTCTCTCCTGTGCTTGACTAGTCAGTTGGGAGCATGAGCTTCCTGAATATGAGGAAGCACTGTGGGCTTACATTCATGTTTGCTGTGACTGTCCCCCAAGCCCCATCTGATGGCATTCCTGGGAACCTGATTGAGAGCAGCCCACCTGAGTGCACCAGTCATCAGTACTCTCATGACAGAGATCACACACTTGTGTTTTATAATTAACGCCAGTAGGCTTGGGATTACTCTGTTGGTTTGAACACAGCTGATAATCAGTAACCAATAAATGAATAAAGGATCAAGTAATGCATGTGAATCTTTGAAGAACAGAGTATGTTATAACTGTCAAAATGGGACATCAGAACATTTTGAGGTAAGTCGCACTAAACAGACCTTGATGGACACTGCTCGAGAAACACTGTTTTGTGTTTTCTTCCTATTTTTGTTTGAGACAGAGTGTCATTATGTAGTTCTGGCTGTCCTGGAACTCACTATAGACCAGGCTGGCCTAGATCTCACAGAGGTCCACCTGCCTCTGCCTCCCAAGTGCTTGATTCTGTTTTTCAAACAATACAGTGAAGAAGGTTCATCCTGTCAGAACCTGGAACATTCCTCTTCACGCCTCAACTACCATTTACGGCCTCTGTGGCAGCTTCCTACTCTAAGACCCACTCAGAGAGTTGAGAAAGTTTTTATCTAATTATCTCCTTTCCCTACTTTGAATTGGCCAACCATGTACCTTCCCGGGCTGTATCAAAGCGGCTGCCAGCACAAAGCACATGCACATTTAAGCAGGCTTTAGTTAGCACACTTAAAATTGATCATGCATTTTAGTCTCAGTAACTCGCAATTTCTACACCCTTTGATAATTCACTTTAAAGAGCAAACTGTCTTTAATGACAAGGCTTAAAAGAGGCGACCTTTCTGAACAAGATATGAAAGCTCAGAAGAGAGAGTTCTTTTAAGGAAACTGTGGATTCAAATGACCTTGTGTTCTGAAACTTTTCTTCCACCATTTTTGATGTCTTACCTTTCCTTTCACCCTCAGACAGAAAGCACAAACGCCGCTGCCTTCCCTGGCTGCTGATGCACTTCAATGAGGACGCTGTTAATTGTTAATTCAAACTCCCAGTTCCTTCCTTCTGCACTTTTCTCCACAGACTCCTTTAATGAGGTTGCTCGCCCATAAGCACAAGCCAGTTTCTGAAGAATCACTGTTAATACGCAGCATTTACACAATGTTTCCAGCACAAGAGCGATCCATCCCCTGCTAGCCACCTTGCCACCAAGGCTTTCGTGTCATCTATGAAGTAAGCCAGTCCTCCGTTCCCTCCATCTTAGATTTCCCCCTGCTCCACTGTATCCCTGGATGGCTGCCCTCGGTGGAGTTCTTTGGTGAGTGGGGAGGTTGCAGAATCAGAGGTCAGACTCCCGAAAGGTCCAACCGCTGGGGGAGCAGAAATGGACTTGCAGGGAACCATGATGCACGCAGGTGACTGAACTGCCTCCTCCCCTTCAGCTCCTCCCTTCCCCAACTCCTGCCGATTATCTAGCAGTCAGACCCAGTCACAGCACCTTGAGCTGAGCTTCCTTCTCTGAGTGTTCCAAATGCCTTATCAGCGGCCACCTGTTGACAATTACATGTTGAACTAGAAAAGGCACAGGCTCTACCATGGTAGCCAACAATGATACCTGGCGATGTAACCAAATTAGGCACTTGTGATGAACAATTGATCCTCCCTCAGATAAAAGAAAGGATGCAATCTTGGGTGATTTTTATAATAAGGAGAAGGGCTTATAATTTATTTCCTGAGCACTCGCATTTTGTCCCAGTAGTCACTTATATACTCAGCGCTCAGCTCAGTGAGGAATTTCAAACATGAGAAAAGCAATTTTCCTCTCCCTTCCTTCATCAAGACGGTTCACAAAAGGCTGAGTGTCAGCCCCCTCCCCCCCCAGTCTTCCTATTACATCCAATCAAACTGAACCAAAAGTTTACTCCATTTACTCCCAGGCATGCTTGGCGCACTGCAGAAGGGAAATGGGATCTGGGTAATATCAAAGGTTCACCAGTGTTCCTAGTTTCATAACCCTTGAAATAAGGAAAAGAAAGAATAGCAGGCAAGCTTCCAAAACACCTACTGATATTTACTCATGGAAAACAAATATTCCTGAGTGGGAGTTCAATTTCAGCAAACAAAACGACTCAGTAAGTATTTTCATTTCAGCCAATAATGACCTTGAAATCCTCTGACCTCAACCTGCTTTTCATGGTCCCCACAGAAGCACTTAACATTAACCATACAGCCTTCTTTGTTCTAAGCGCTAAGTCATCACGTGAATGTCACCTGTCCTCATTGGTTAGGTGGCTTTAATAGCCGCTGCTATGGTTTCAGTTTTTTGTGAATACCCTTGAAGCCTGTGTGATCATTCACAGGACACAAGTTTTTACTCCTGGAGGAGGGATTGGGGGAGGAGGACATCTGAGAAGCACCAGGAAGGTTGTGGCTCCACAGAGATGACTTTGTGAGAGATGCCAGCCTCCTACTGATGGCCACCACTAAGCCTGACCTGACTGGGCTTTGGAAATGGCTGTCAAACCTACTTTTCGTATCTTCCCATGTCTCAGACAAGGTACAAGAAAGGACAACTAATCTTTGGACAGTAAGTGATGGGCAAATTTGGGCATGGGAGAGAGAAAAGAATTTTGGATAAGTGTAAATAAACCATCTCTCCTGTCCTTTTACAGAAAACCAGACGATTACAGCCCCTGCCTCTCCTACTCACTCCATTTTTAGTGTGTCTCAAAAGGCCCATGGCTCACCCCAGGACCACTCAAATGAAACCAGAGCATCTTTGCAACTGCGACTCAATTTCTTTGGCAAATCAGGCTGACCAATCAGCACAGGACTGCTGTGGGAAAAGCAACCCAGGCTTAAACACCATTCATAAGCGCAAGCACATTGCAGACAAGACCAATAGACAGGCTCAGCTGCTTGCCAATAGTCTGCGTCCTCAAAACACGGTCAAATGCTGTTTGGCTTTCTTAAGGATCACTGACCAATGTGACAACCAAAGCAACTACCATAAAGGAGACATCAAGAAAGTAACAGGAAAACCAGAGTTGCTTGCAGTGTTCCCATCCTGTAACCCTGTAGCCCCAGGGGGCAGACTGGAGACCCATACGACAAGCATGGCCTAGTGGTTTGACTCTGGACAGCAGTTTCATGCCAAAACTATGACTTGATCTTTGACATAAGGTATTTTCCTCCAAAGCAGAAAACGAAGTAGTCAGTATTTGTTGGGGGAAAAATACCATGCATATATCATACTTAGCAGATGAGATGTGATAAAAGGCTGAAAGAAAACAGAATAGTACAAAATGAAATTTTAATATATGAGCATGGGAACAGCATTACCAGGTTAAGAATTTTGATATGATACTGCAATCGTGATTCAATCATGCGTCCACTTGCAAGTCCCTTGCTATGCATTACAAGGCACACCACAGGTGGTTACATCCCTGACCAATGTAAGCAGTCTTCAGCACATACTCTAATACAAGCATGGGGTCAGAAAGAAAGAGATGGCAAAAAATAACTTAGGCAGAAACAAATAAAGCCAACCCAGTGTATGGATGATACATGTTTTTATGATCTTAATTACAGTTAAGCATTGAAAAAAAAAAAAAGCCACTGATCTCACAGTTCACAATATCCAAATCTTCAAACCTGCTGGATGAAGTCCACAGTGCAGCCCAGAAACTCTCACCTGTCACGCTCTCCCATGCAGTTACCTGCAAATCAAAACCCACGTTAGGATTTTTTAGTCTGAATAGGTCTGTCAAATGTAAAATATGTTATAATTCTGAAGGAGTTGGAGGTTCAAAAGGGTATTTGCTATCAACATTTCATCACGTATGCCTATAAGCAACTGATCGTATCATCATCAGGCACACAGAAGCTTTTGAAAAGTAAATGATTCACAAGCTCATTCCTTTTATTTCGCTGCCAAGTATGCAGCCCAGCCTGTGACTGCACTTAAAAGTAAAGTCTCCTGGCTGACCTGGACCATCTGTAAACATCACCCTGGTTGGTGATATCACTGGGAACCTTTAAGAAGGTCTCCTGCATCCCACAGCCCTGCCCGCCAGGACACTCCATCTCTGTGAATGTTTAACATCACAAAACCATTGACTTATTCTGGTCTGCACAACAGTGCCAAATCCCCAGGGGTAAGGGACTTTGAAGATGTGAGCCATCACAAAGAATTTCGTCATGCTACAGTCTTAAAGGAAGATGGTGTCTCCTTCAGTCCACAGCTGGGCTTCAAGACCACACCTTGCCTGACTGCCTAGGTGAGGTCCCTACTTGCCACACCCTGAGATTCCCGAATCTTGTTCTGATGAATCTAACCCCTGTGATTAAAGAGGTGGGTGACTTCTCAAAGACAAGCTGTTCATTAAAAATGTCTTACTTTCAAGACTTATCTTGTGTCTAGACATTTCAGCGAAGACTTGCATGTCAAGCTGAAAGACTCCAGGGGTACAGAGTACAAATTAATAGGAAGGTGTTTCATTCGCTGCTCATACCTTCTGCCTTGGTAGGTGGTCAGCTCTTCTTGAAGGATGGATGCCCTCTTTTGTAGAAAGTTGACCTAGAAAGACATCTTGTGTGAGAAAAGGTAAGTGCATATGGCAACACTGCACACACAGTATTTTACTTAAACTCAGACAATCCCCTGGATAAGACTCAGTGGAAGTAAAGGTTAATAATGCATTTTCACATGTTTCACCACATCCTGTCTGTACCACAAATCCATCAAAGGTCACAGAACCAACTCTAAACTATCCCAGGGACCATCTTGATCTGGTGCCATCTATCTTTGTGGCTTTCTCTCTCCTCACGACCTTCCCACCCCTGCCACCTTACACCACGCTGTTCACTGTTACCCTATGGCCAGGGCCACTTCTCACTTTGGACCGCTTGATTAAAAGTCTCCTATTTGTCTTCCGTGGGTGGCTCAGTCTTCGGCCCTCCCATTGCTCCCCAACTGCTCACAGCCGCCTTGCCCTGTCCCGTGCCAGCGGTCCTCCTCTGCATCCTGTGCTCTGGGCCTTCTCACACTGCCTTGTGGTTATGTTGGCATGTCTGTTCCCAAACCTAAGGGCTTTCCTGGAGAGGGATGACTGCCTATCTCTGAGTCCCCAGTTTCTTTTACAGGGCTGGGCATGTAGCTGGTATGTCCTAGCTGTTTCATGAGCGAATGAGTGAGTGAAAAGAAAATTACTGCTTTCTGGAAACCTCAAATCCATCCTGGGGATTTCCCTGAGGTTAGAGACAGGGCTTTGGAGTGGGAAGAACTGGAGCTTTCCCTGGAGTTGGGCCAACATGAGCTCCATCCCTGGCTTGGCTTCTAAGGCTCTAGGAAGGTTACTCAGCTCTTGCTGTGTCATCTGTGAAATGGGGTTCATGACAGCTGCTTCCCAGGGTTATAAGTGTGGTGAGATGTGCCTCTTAGTAAATGCCCAGATAGACCTCACAGTAGGTACCACCATGGAGTGGAGGGCTGGAGGTTAGGAGAAGCTGTTGCCCAGTGTGGCTTCTTCAATGAGATCTTTATAGTATATTCGACTTCTTTGAAGTATAAATGTCTATGGGATCAATGACACCTATATATAAGGCATCGATTAAAAACACCTCATCTAACCACATAAAAAACGGTTTGGGGACAGCTTACACTATGGTTTAAAGTAATCAAGAGTCAGCGGCATTTGATCTGCTCAGAGCTGTTTACTCTTGCTTCTTTGGTCTGAGCTGAAACCATGGCAACGGCTGGTTCTAAGGCATAGTTATGCAAGAGTACAGCTGGCAGAACCAAAAAACGTGCTTGAAAGAGAGAAAGCACAGGCTGCCCAAATGGGTGTGTATCAAAGCGGTCCCCGGGCTTGCTTACTGCTAATAGTGTCTGCTCTTCATTTTATCCAATTGCTCTAATAACCCACAGAACAATTGATAATTCGGACAGATGCAAGGATCACACTGCTTTAACCTTCCTCCCCCACCCTGCATTGCGATCGACCGGAATTCCAACAACTCTCAAAAACACAGGCACCTGTGCTTCCAAACTGAATCTGCTCACTCTAAGGCTGCAACTCCTCCTCCGCGCAGCTGCCACCTCCCAGGCCTCATGCAGCTGGCAGCGGTCTCCCTGGGTCAACATCCAGTTCCAGGAGGTTGAAATGGCTTTTTTTTTTTTTTTTTTTTTTTTGTTTTTTTGAGAGGGGTTTTCTTTTGTTGCTTTTGGAGGTTACCA